GGGACCGCCAACCTTAGCAAGGGAAACCGGGGACCGCCAACGTTAGGAAAAAAAAAAAGTGCTCCGCCGGATTGTAGGCTTTGTGATTTGGGGTTTAGGATTCGGTCGAAATAATGAGTAGTAAGAGTATCCCCATGCAGTCCCTTTCATGTGGTTGTGAGCTTAGTTTAATCCGGTTTCATGTAGAGTTGAAAAATAATGCGGTTGTTACAGGGCCCTTTTTTTAGGGGGAAAGCCGGTGAAGACTTGGCAGTGGCTCTGAGCTCGTATACATGCGAAAAACATCGAAAAACATCAGGAAGGTTAGGGAACAGCCGGACGAATCCCAGGATTGAAGGACGGGGACTGCTTCTCGGTCTACTCGGCCATGGACTAGCAGAGTTGCTTCCGGAAGCGGGTGGCGCGATCGCTCGGCAGGTTTGAAAGGCCCAGACTCCCTCGACTTCGCCTGCCAGGCACAGAAGTGCTGCAGCTTTTGTTCTGTGCCGCTGTCCAGCCTTCGCTGCTGTACACGCTTTGAGCAGCCTGTCCACGCTGACGAACACGGCATGGGACAAGAAAGAGCAGGTGGACGCCATGATCTCGCGGCGGGAAAAAGCTGCGGCTTTGCGGTTCAAAAAGCGCCCCTGAAGCTCTGAACCCTTGTCCCTCAACCTTCTCTCTCGTTTTGGAGGTACGATCGGCGGCGCTTCGTCGATCACGGCCTTAAGCACGTGGATCTCTATTTCCTCGATGGGAGCTGTCCAGATAAGGAGGCTACGGAGCAGTCCTCTGGTTAACTACCAGCTATCTGGCTATGGGTCGATCTATCTTGCTAGCTATAAAGCTATGTAGCTAGCTGGCTATCTACTGGTCAATCTATCCTCATCTACTCTCTTTCTGTGTCTATTTGACAACTCTCGCCCAGATGTAGCCGTGAATGCGCTGTCAGATCATCTCCAAGTTCCTTTACATCGTCGAGAACGAGCCCAGCGCAGTGGCCGTGCACTGCAAGGCAAGAAGAGCGCCCATGGATTGTTGAAAAATCATAAGCCTCTGTCCCAATGCCCGGGCTTCACTGCTAATCTGCATGTTCATGCTTGTCTCCAGGCATTTAGGGTGCAAGTGTGGCGAGCCCGGATCAATTGTTCAGGCTGGCCTGGGTCGCACCGGTACCTTGATCGGCCTGTACGTCCCGGCCCCCAGAAAAGGCAGAAGGCTGCACTTCGTGCTGGGGGTCAGCAGCATCACAGTCAGAATTCACAGACCTCATCAGCCGGAACTCCCTCAGCGCGCCGGGGGCTGCCCCACACAATTCCGCGATGTCTCGGTCCCGAGCTTGTAGACTGTCAGCGCAGCGGCTCAGCCAACAAGATCGTCGGGATAGCCCATAGCCATCTGCCGCCATGGCGACGTGGGAGGGCGCCGAGAGGGTAAAGAAGATCTTCGAGCCACCCGCCTCAGACATCTTGCGGATTGCACTGCTTGCGCCAGTGTATGTGGGTAATCATGATGCTCCTCGTCATGATGCTGCCCTTGCGTGAAGAACAGCAGTATGACAAGCAGCAACAGGCACTAGCAGCAGCAGGACGCCAGCCGTGGTACATGCCATGTTAGTGGCGATGTTGGAGTTCGTGCATCAATTGGCAGTAGGAAGTCTTGTAATTGTGGAAGGGGGGTGGACGTACTTGCACCGTCTTGCTTTGGGTCCTCATGGTCCTCAAGAAAGCCCAAAATCCCGGACGCGCCAGTCCTCTAAATCGTGCACCCGGAAGAGTCTTCTTGTCAGATCCCAATCCTCGAACCTCGCACGCTCGCGACTTCAGGGCAGCAGACCACAACATGGATGGCAAGCTGAGCAGAGACGAGCTGCATGGTAGTTCGAATATGTGCTGCTTCATTTAGGTTTCCACATCTTTTGTGTTTGTTTGCAGATAGTTTCAGTTGTGAGAAATTCGTCTGTGTTGATGCATACGTTCTGGATGTTCGGGCATAGAGGCATAGACGGGTGGCTGTGTCGCTACATGGAAAAATTGAAGCTACACTGCTACACACTTCAGAAAGTGCTTCTGCAGCCAGGTACTCGAAGGGCATGCGAATTCTAAATCAAAGTAGGTCCGGGAGGAAGGCAGGGCATATGGTACGTCGTTGCGGAGATTTATCCTATCGAAGCTCTGTTCTGGGGGGTGCTGGGATAAGGTTGGATTCTAGCACACAGCTAGGCTGTGGTAGTAGTTGGTAAGGATGTACACTGGAGCGGCTGACCCTGCATTGCAGGATAAGGTAGGGAGCTAGGCTGTGGATGTACACCCGAGCCGCTGACCCAGCGCCGCGAACGAGAAGATAGGGAGCTAGCTAAGCTCTGGCGGTGGTACAGGTAAGGATGTACACCTTGACCCTGAATTCAGAGCCACAGCCTCGAATCTCAAGCCCTTGCAGGCCCCTGCACCCTCGAATGAGAACCCTCGGTCTCCAAGTCAGAAGACATCAGAAGACCCTGATGAGGGTCGCAAAAGCGCCTAGGCTGAAGGCCATCTTCCAGAAGGTCTCTAGCTGGGATGTGCTTTGGATGCAGCCCAGAGTTTTGGAATTACAGCCCTTGTGGGGTTTGGGACAAGCTTGCGGCTCTTGAGGCCTTGGGCTTCAGTAGCCTTGCCAATTGGTGCCTTGCTGCTTGTTGCCTGCTTGTTGTGGTTGTTTGTAGCGGCTAGAGAAGGGTTTCTTTTGGAGGCCTTCTTCTGTTTTCGAAGATAGCACTACCTGCTTCCTTGATACAAGGACTTCCGAAAGCCCTGGGTAAGGGCTCAGGCTTTCGATACCTCAGTGCTAGCACTGCTCGATAGAAACGCGCCGATATACGTATCGCGCAGTGTAACCTAACCTGAAGCGTGCTCGTTCAGAAACCCGGCTTCCTCGACTGCTTGCTGATCTCAGGTTATGGGGTTCAGGGGTCTGTGAAATGCAGGCTCAAAGCAGGTAACCTTTCACCGCTTTAGCAGGAGACATCAGGCCAAAAGCAAAAAATGGTTCCCATGGACAAGTAGGTTCATGTTGGGTCTTGTATGAGGATGAGATGATCAACCTCCTCCTGGATGAATGCATCTAGGCTGCACGGTGCTTTGCCTTTGCTGTGTGTGCCCCAGTCAGAGGTTTTTTCTCTACAAGGGTTTCAGGGTTCCGGCGGTTAGTGTTGAGGGCGTGAGCCTTTAGTTGGGCCTTACTATATTACTGGTTTGAAGTTTTAGCTTTGAGAATATAGGAAAATGCAGACTGCTTGTGCAGGGTTTCATGCAGTTCAGCGGTCCTTCTTTCATGGTAGACGCACTGAGATAGGTATGCAGAGGCTTCAGCAGCGCAGGTCTTCGGGTGGAGAATTCATGAGGTAAACGGTAAACTTGATCATGAGGTTGATGGTGGGGTGAGAGTAGGACCTGGCTCAAGAAGTATGCGTGGTGCACATCAGAAGCCAGAAGCAGCAACTTGACTTGAAAGGGAGCAAGGTTCCGGTGTCCTGCAGGAGGCTTCCCCTGATGATCTCAGCCCCCTGAACCCTCCAGTTGCCCTATAAAGCTTGTGACACACACCATATGGTTCTTTACCGCTTCCTTCAAGCGCCCATGGTAGAGAGCCTGCCTAGCCGCGCTGAGTCTGAGGCGATTACAACAAAGACGGCCAGCTCCAAGTGCGCGAGTTCATCGACTTCATGTTCAAAGGCCCAGGGTTTAGGGTTTGGGGTTTAGGGGTTTCGGGGTTTTGGGTTTAGGGCTGTGAGAGCGGAGTGTCTAGTCTAGGCTTCGCTCTGTGAGTCCAGAGGAGGACGGCCGTGCCGTTGAAGCGGTTTGGCAGACGCGAGTCCATCGAAGAACTCATCCGGGGTTCTGGTTAGTGTAGACTCCTGCCCTCATTCAGGTAGTACGAAGGGACGAACCGAATCCTTGTTCTAACGGCGTGTGCAGAGAGGATTTGGTCAGGAAACCCGATAGTATCTCAGCATGCGGAGGCAGGCCCGGAGTACTTGGAGTGCAATCAGGACTTGTTTTGCTTACAAGGTACCCGGATAAGGATCATGCTAAAGACTTCCAAAGATAGTCCGGCTTCCAGTCAAACGCCTCCAAGAACAATTGTTTAGGGCTTAGTGAAGGCCTTGTAAACTTGCACCCTCAATCCTCAACCATACAACTCTACCCTCTACAGCCTATATGCGAGTCGAAACCATCCCCTTACAGTCCCTGCAAATTTATAGTACTTACAATAGGTCACACAAGGCCATTCTAGTGATTCATTCTTAACCACGGAAGTCCCCTTGTTTGACTTCGGGATCCTGGGATTCCGGCTTCAGTTTCCGATGTGGTTCCGGGGCCTTGCTCCCCCTGACCCCTTGAGTACTGGTTTCCTGGGACCATGCCTCCCTGCAAGGTGCCAAGATGGAGCCTCGCCGGCTTCTGGGGAGTTTCGGGTTCCGGACGAATTTAGAGTCGAGTTTATTCTTGAGGAGCGGGGGGGAGGGGGAAGAATTGCAATTCTGATTGTCCCAACGTTGGGATGTTGCTCTCTTTGTTATGAAAACAAGAAAGCCCCACTCGAGGTCAAACCTAGTGGTCGGAGTGATCCCCAAGAAATAACAATTTGCACATGTGTTTGTTGAAAAATAATCGCCAGCAGGGACGTGGGAATGGGAGAGCTATTTTGTGCTGATGTAGCTGCGTCAACAGCTGATGCTAAGAGCGGTAGTGAGTTGTTTCTAACACTTACCAACAGCAACGACATCAACAGACACGACAAGAGTAGTAGTGGTCGCCGGTATCTGTAGTAGCAGTAGCAGTAGTAGCAGGCAGTAGTAGTAAGTAGCAGATGTAGTAGTAGTAGTAGTAGTAGTAGTAGTAGTTGTTGTTGTTGTTGTTGTTGTTGTTGTTGTAGTCGTCGTCGTCGTCCGCGCGGTCGTCGTGGTCGTGGTCGTGGCCGTGGTCGTCGTCGTGGTCGTGGTAGTGGTAGTGGTCGTCGTAATCCAACCGTAGTCGTAGAAGTAGTAGAAGCAGCAGCAGCTGGTGGGAGTGGTACACTGTCGTATATGCAACTGCACGATATTATAGTGCTCATCTAGGATGTTGGGCAGTATTGGCACGATTACAGCAAGAATAGCCGCAGTAGGAATAGTTTCCCTAGCGGCTTTATCTGTTTGGCAACAGAACCTGCCATAACAAGTCCCTCCAGAAGCAATAACAGCAAACGAAACAGCAGAAAGGAACGATGACATTTAACAGCGTTAGCAGCATGGCGATAAGCAAGCTAATGAATGAAGGATGATGGCACAACACAGGGCAACGGTGGCCAGGATTAGACAAGATCAGGATAAAGACTTAAGTACCATGTTTGGTGATGAAGATGGTGATGCAGGTG